TCTTGTTCCTTCTCGCTTCCGTTTTTTTATTAATTTCTTCCTCTTCTTATTAATTATGCAATCAGTACTTCTCTCCGCAAGATCGGATTACCACGAAAAGAAATCCAATTTTCCAAAACAGAATACGTACCCAATTTTTTTTTCTTTTTTTTTTTTTTTTTTTTTTTTTTGAATACGAACCCTACAGCTTCTAATAAGTGGAACGAAACTATTTTTAAAGGAACTCAGATGGAACACGAAACACCCGTTTGACCAGTACCTTGTTAAGGGAAGTCTCCCCCCCCCCTCCTCATCCTTCCTCACCTCCCCCCCCCCTTCCCTCTTACCTTCTTCACCACAAAAACTTCCTTTAATCGTCTTGCTTGGGTGAGTTTGAGAGAGAGGGAGAAGGAGAGAAGAGAGAGAGAGAGAGAGAGAGAGAGAGAGAGAGAGAGAGAGAGAGAGAGAGAGAGAGAGAGAGAGAGAGAGAGAGAGAGAGAGGAAGAGAGAGAGTAAAAACACATTTTTTTTACGTTCTTATTTCCCTTTGCACTCGTTTTATTGTTTATATGCTTATATTGTTTCTTTCCTTTAATAGATATGGATTTTTTTCCTCTCTCGCGGTACCCAATGTACCCTCTTCACCTAACCTTGACCTACCCAGCTTCCCCCCTCCCCCCTCCCCCCTTCTGTCCCTTACCTTTATACCCTGCCTTCTCTCTCCTCTCCCCTCCCCTTCCTTCCTTCCTTCCTTTTTTTCTTTCTCTCTTCCTTCCTTCCTCCTCTGTCTGTCCTACCTCCTTTCCTTCTCCCTTGCCCTCCCCTCTCCGCACTCCTCCCCTCCCCTCCCCTCTCCGCACTCCTCCCCTCCCCTCCCTTCCCCTCCCCTTTTCCCTCCCCTCCCCTCTCCCCTCCCCTTCCCCTCCCCTCTCCCTCCCCCCTCCCCTCCCCTCCCCTTTTCCCCTCTCCCCTCCCCCCTCTCCCCTCTCCCTCCCCCCTCCCCTTGCCGACAGCGCACGCGTAATGAACAGGTGACATTCTTGACAAACACAAGCCTTGTACCATAATCCCCTTCAGTGTTATCAGCATAGGGGTTCTCTATTCTGATTTTTTTTTCTCGTAATATGCAAGGCCTGATAAAGCGGCTAAAAATAGGCTGGCCTGATAAACCCCCCCTCGTCTCTGCCTCTCACTTTTTTTTTTTCGAGTACTTTGTGTTTCTGTGTGTACGTTTCTGTTCATTGTTTTTATTTTTTACTTATTTATTTGTTTGTTTGTTTATTTATTTATTTTTATTACGAAGTGTGTGTGTGTGTGTGTGTGTGTGTGTGTGTGTGTGTGTGTGTGTATGTAGGTTTGGATGCAGATGAGAGGATGGATCTGATTTTTTTATTTATTTATTTATTTATTTTTTAATCTACGGACATCTTTTGCCGGGTTTCATTTCGTCTTTCCCGAGGCCTCTGATCTCTGCACATCTTCCCACACGAAAAAAAAAATATATATGTATATATAATTGATTCGGTGGTTACTATTCTGCTTGTTAATACTCTTCCCTCTTCTGCTGCCTCTTCCTCTTAGCCTTTTTCCTCTTTCCTCCTCCCTAATTTTTTATCTATACTTTTCATTTTCCTCCTTACTCCTTCTCTAAGCCTCCCTCCCTCTCTCTCTCTCTCCCTCCCTCCCTCCCTCCCTCCCTCCCTCCCTCCCTCCCTCCCTCCCTCTCTCTCCCTCTCTCTCTCTCTCTCTCTCTCTCTCTCTCTCTCTCTCTCTCTCTCTCTCTCTCTCTCTCTCTCTCTCTCTCTCTCTCTCTCTCTCTCTCTCTCTCTCCCTCCCTCTCCCTCCCTCTCTCTCTCCCTCTCTCTCTCCCTCTCTCCCTCTCTCTCCCTCCCTCTCTCTCTCCCTCTCTCTCCCTCCCTCTCTCTCTCCCTCTCTCCCTCTCTCTCCCTCCCTCTCTCTCTCCCTCTCTCTCCCTCCCTCTCTCTCTCCCTCTCTCCCTCTCTCTCCCTCATTCTCTCTCTCCCTCTCTCCCTCATTACTACTCTTCCTCCTCTTCCTCTCCTCCTCCCTCATCTCTCCTCCCACCTTCACTCCCCCCTCCCTCCCTCCCTCCTCCTTATCTATAAGAAGATCTTTTTTTTTCATTTCGCCATATACCGATACCGTATCTCGCTAGGCCTGCAGTGATAGTCCCAACCCTATCATCCCCTATATTATCAGCCTGGTTCTAAAAATAGACCTAGAAGTGCGTTTGCGACACCTCGGCATCCCTCAGTCCCCGTGTGTGGGTAACGTGATCCGAGAGTGGGAGAGAAGGAGGGAGGGAAGGAGGAAGAGGGGGAGGGAGACGGAGGGAGGGAGGAGAGGGAGGGGGAGTGGGTTAGGGAGGGGGAAAGGGAGAGGAGGGAGGGAGTGGGTTAGGGAGGGAGGGAGGGAGTGGGTTAGGGAGGGAGGGAAGGAGGGAGAGAGAAAGGAGAGGGAGGAAGGGATGGGGAGTGGGAGGGAGAGAGGGAGAGAGGTT